AGTCTCGCTATGTCGCCCTTAGTAGAGTGCCTTGGTGTCACAGCTCACAGCAACCTCAAACTCTTGGGCTTAAGTGATTCTCTTGCCTTAGCCTCTCAAGTAGCTAGGACTACAGGCACCTGCCACAATGCCTGGCTATTTTTTTGTTGTTGCAGTTGTCATTGTTTTTGTCATTGTTGTTTTAGCTGGCCCAGGCTGGGTTTGAACCTGCCAGCCTCAGTGCATGTGGCCAGTGCCGTAAGTACTATGCTATGGGCGCCGAGCATCACTCTCTCTCTCTTTTTTAATCTTGAGACAAGAGTCTCACTCTGTCTCCCTGGGTCGAGTGCCGTGGCATCATCATAGCTCACAGCAACCTCAAACTCTCAGGCTCAAGAGATCTTCTTGCCTCAGCCTCCTGAATAGCTGGGACTATAGGCATCCATGACCATGCCTGGCTAGTTTTTCTATTTTTAGTATATATGGAGTCTTGTTCTTGCTCAGGTTGATCTCAAACTCATGAGCTCAAGCAATCCACCTGCCTCGGCCTCCCAGACTCTTAGGATTACAGGAGTGAGCCTCTGCACCTAGTCTTCAAACTCTTAATTTTCAAAATACAACCTAATCCTCAATGACAAAAGACCTCATAGAGCCCTTAAGCTCACTATAACCTTTATTCTTGTAAGTTACAATAGCATTGTGTTTGAACTACTCATATGACATATCCTGTAAGCCTCATGTCATGACTCTTTGTGTTCATGTCCTCTAGTGTATTATCCTTGAGTGTAAGGACTTACATCAGAGAAAGTCCATGGTTCTTAACGCCCCATGAGTCATCTCATCTTCATCTTCATTCAGGGAAAGGGAGACAAGAGGGCATAATAGAAGGAGCACTATCTTTGGAGTCAGATACACTTGAATTTTCATCTTGATGCTGTGTGGGGTTCAGCAAGCTCTTAACTTTCCTGAGTTCAATCTCTTCATCTGTAATACGGTGATAATAATAGCCCTTCCCTCATCAGATCATTGTGTGGATTAGAAACAATGTGAAAATAAAATAAAAGACAAAATGCAATGATTCACTAGGAGGACCAAGAACAAAATTAAAAAAGAAATAATGTGTGAAAAGTCCTTAGCACTTTGTATGAGAACCAGCCCTGGAAAAAAAAGAGCCCCAGGCAGAGAAGTCAGACTTGCAGGTTTTAATGTTTCATGATTGGTAACAGAGTAGTCTCAAGGGGATCCTCAGAGAAGCTGTTCTGACTTAGAAGCACTTCCTGTGGACGATGGAAGGCCCTGCCTCGTCATACTCAGGTTTGCTGATCCACATCTGCTGGAAGGTGGAGAGAGAGGCCAGGATGGAGCCCCCAATCCAGACTGAGTACTTCCGTTCTGGAGGAGCAATAATCTGCAAAGAGCAAATGTGGTAAGTCACAATCAGCCCACTATGGAATAGGCAAGGTGGTCCAGAAATCAACTTGCCCTGCCTCCAGGCTATCCTGGAAAAAGGCAGCCTCTCTGATCAGAAATGCACAGAATAAACATCCTGGAGATTAGATTACTGCTTGAAATCTTCATGCCCCCACCCCTCCCTTTGCTCCTCCATGGGAAGAGTGCATTACTTCACACTGTGACTCTGAGCTGCGCTGTGTGTCTGCTTTGGCTAGGGGGATGTTAGGAGACATGACACAAATAGGGGCTGAAGTATGTTATGAGAAGAGTGCGTGCTGTCTTGTGCTTCTGTCATCTTCATAAGAAGAGCTGCCCTTGAGAAGCTGCTAGCCCTTCTGCCTGGGCTCCATAGTGAGAGATGTGGTCTTGGCCTCAGCTGTTGAAATAGATCTGCTTATCCAAGATTGACCTTGATCAGCTGATTCCCAGCTGACCTGTAGATGCATGAACAAGACATGCTCATTGTTACATGCCCCTGAGATTCCATAACTGTTATTCAGCAAAAGATGACCAATACAAACATCTATCGGGGGAACCTGTTCTGTTCTCACCTGGAGTTTGGATGCATGGACAGATTGGACTGGGCTTCCTCTGTTCCTGAGTCCAAACCAGTCTACCCAAATCCTGTCCTGAGCTTTATCTGTCAATGGCCACTTAT